ACGAAAATAATCGATAAGTGATCTCACTCGAATATTTCTTATAGTAGGTATACAAGATGTCGAACAAATGGTTACCTACTGAAAAAGTGCTTCATGAGACCTAGCAAACGGCATCAATAATATGTTTAAGAACGAACTGAATCTATTCAAAAAACCTATATTTCCTTAACCTAGCTTTCATACATTTAATACAGTTACAAAGAAACACGAAATCAATGGTTTCTGAGAATTCTGAGTGCCTTAATGCCGTCCCCTTTATCTGTTTATTTAGTATTTATTAATTAGTATCTCTTGATGATATTGTAGCAAGTTAAACCTAAAATCATGTTTTCCGTAAATAATTTAAATAAGAATGCAATTTACGAGTTTGTTGTTTGATTATTATACAGTGTGAGTCACGTTAAAGTGTACATATGAAAATAAATGAAACTAGACCTATTTTTATCGACAAAATAGTTCAAAAATTTTTCGAGATTTTTTTAAAAAAAATTATAGAATTTTTTTTCTTCCAATTACTTATTGTAAAGAAAACGTAATAACTTTTAAACTAAGCAGTATATCCTGATAAAATAAAAACAGTAATAATGCTAAATAACAGGCGATACTAAAAAATACATAAAATGCACAAAAAAGGCCAACAAATAATAAAAAATGATACTGAGAGGCTTAGTTCAAACGATCATAGCAAATGTTGTGATAGGGATAGAGACATGCGATTTTTGGTTTTACAAAGATAATACGATAGAGAATAATACAAAGTAATAAAAACCACCTGTTATAGAAGTATTTTTTGGAGAAATTTATCAAATAACCAAAAAAACACGAATTTAAAAGCAGATTTTTTTCAAAAAGTATCATTTTTTATTATTTGTTGGCCTTTTTTGTGTATTTTATGTATTTTTTTAGTATCGCCTGTTATTTAACATTATTATTGTTTTTATTTTATCACGATATACCGCTTAGTTCAAAAGTTATTACGTTTTCTTTACAATAAGTAATTGGAAGAAAAAAAATTCTATAAAAATTTAAAAAAAATCTCAAAAAAATTTTGGCCTCTTTTTTGTCGATAAAAATAGGTCTAGTTTCACCTGTTTTCATATGTACACTTTAACGTGACTCACTCTGTATATTACTCAATTAAAAATTTAAATTTAATAAATTAACACTTCTAATATGGTAGGTATGGCTGGCGGCATACATTTAGTATGAAATTCGGAAACATTGAATTTTCGCATAGATCCAGTTTATTTCTTTGACCTATTTATTGTTATTGTTTTAAAGAGCTCATGAAGCACTTACAGGAACAGTAAACAGTTTCTCGATATCTTTGTTAATTAAAAATCAAGTGAAATAACTTATCGTTTCCACCCTGTACCTATACTTTTAAAAATAAACTCATTTTATACGTTCATTTGTATATAAGTATCTACAATACAAATACCTAACCAACTTAGTTGACGTTTTATAAAACTATTTGTCTAAGTGTCATCGAGCGACCGCTGGTGGATTTGCCATTTACCTGACCTACCCCTTTATTACTAAACGTTTAATATCAGATGAATAGTTACGCACCAATTTCTTTAATTCAGTCGTCAGTAATTGAACTTTCGGAAAAACATGACGAAGCGTTGTGTGACCATACAGACGCTATTCAACTTTTATTAGTAAGGAAGAGTATATTTTATGTTGGTAGAAACACAATAGCAAAGACTAATGTTTTGACACCCTGTTAAAATTTTTAATAGTCATTCATTTTTTCCTGACCAAACAGATACCATAATAATATATTTTATCTATTCTACCCATATTCTGTAAGTAAAATAATAAAAAGTTTGAAAAGAAAGAAATTACAAGTCCGATTTACCTAAACAAATAAATTAAAAANGGTAGTTGAAACAGACTACAGCTAATTTTCATAGTGGACTGTACTATACGATAAACATGTCAGTCAGTTTGACAACCTTTGTCTGAAACATTATTCAATGAAAATATTGTCCGAACCCTTAGTATTTCTCTTCGACAAATACATTAACACACCGTGAACCACTTTTCTTTCACGACTATAAAAATATTTTAGCAATTTAATTCACAAAATCAATTGCACACATTTAAAATAAAGTTTGTTTACACTTTGACAACAATAGACTGACATGCAAGGTGACATGTCAATGAAGTTTTCAGTTACTGTTGCCATTAAAAGAAATTAGTACCATTAGTTTTCTGCAACATGGCGAGGGTTTTTATGTTCCTGGTCAGGCTATACCATAAAAATGTTAATGATACGACCTACAAAATGTCATACACATCTTATAGGCCTACAATGTATCTACGGTAACTCCCTCGGGGCTGCGGGTGTCTATGGGCGGCGGTAATCACTTACCATCAAGTGATCCGTTTGCTCGTTTGCCTCTTGTCCCATGAAATAAAAGATAGTTCGAACCTATTGGATCTTCGTACATTGTAGCAGTAGTCGATGTTATTTCTCTGTTGCTTATCTAAGGAACTAATACGCTTCAAGTTGCTGACACAACAAACCGTTCTACACTTACGTTTTGGGTACCGTGGAAATAGCTGACTGTTTTACATTGATTGTTCAAATAGCCGGAGTGTGATCCGATTGACAATATAAAGGTTGTGAGGACAAAGGGCATGTCAGTATTATTCTGCAATTTTTGTAAAAATGAAAACACTTTTTTCAGTAAGCAAAAAGTGTGTATCCTCAGTATGAATTTATTAACGTTCAGTTGAGAGATTAAGAGTTCGCAATGTCCGGGGTACGCTAGGTTATGAATTTTACAGAAAAAGCATTTGATTACTATGGATTTCATAGACCTATTTATTAGGACGGTAAATTATGTTTTCTTAGGAAAATAAATCCTATAATGCTCAAACCACCATTAATAATGATGCTATGGCCTTTATACCAAGATGTAAGTTTTCCAAAATTGTAAGAATGAATTTATTGACCATTTTTATAAGATTGTCGTTTCGTCGATTTGCAAGAAGGTTCAAAATTAGGCTATTCCTTTACGTTCTACGCCTTTCATGAAAGCAGGCTTACAAATCTGCCTTCCCAAGTTCCGCGGGGAAGGCACGCAAGTCTATTGTCATTCCCGTAGCTACGGGTATGCCGAACATTTGGGCCTGCAATATAAAAGGCTGATTTGATCCTGGAGGAATTCCACTAAATCTATTAAAATAGCAAGGATTACCTTATTAAAATTTTACGAGTACCGTAGTCTCGATTTATTAAATAAGTAATATCTATTTTAAGTAAAATACTGTGACACTGAAAACACTATGAAACGCCTGTCCTGTAGGCCTAGGATACGCGCCGCGATAAACGGCTATCACGCCTTTTTATCGATTTTGCCCATACATTTTAACGTCGATAAAGTACATCACGGCGCGCATCCTAGCCCGGATAGTGGATTGTCTAAGTACCGGGAAATAATGCCAACCGAGTTTAAACACTGGGAAAATCTATTGTGTTGTTTGTTTTCATATTTTATCAACATTTGAAATGCTTAGTATACTTAGTGCATACTTCATTATGTACGAGTATTATACGCTCTACCAGCTAGATAATTGGTGTCAAACCAACAATTTATTATTATCACATTATATCTTATTACATCATTATTAAGGTGTGTCAACACAAATCGCACACGCTCCTCGTTTTGGGCGACATTAATTGATACGAGCGCAGACCATGTTTTGTCATCGATAGCGTTAATTGGACTTGTTTTTGCGTTGTCTCGTAATTATTTGCTGCGTGTAATGAAAATAGTTTTACCGTAGAAATGCGACAATTTTTTCAAGTAATAAATTGTAATTGATATGTTTTTTGTAGCATATCAAAAATGACGAAGAATATTGTAGGATTTTTGCTAGTCCTATTATGTACCTACTTTCAACATCGAGGTACTGAGTATACATTTCCAAGTTGCTACCTTGACATTGGCAAATGCGCAAGCCGCGCGAGCCATTAAAAAAAACTAACCTCCAAAATTACCTACCTTCCCCTTTCTGTGGATTGAATAGCTTACATATGTAAAACAAACGTCATCATCCCACTGCAGGAGTATAGCTGTCTCTAATTTACCAGAGGTAAATGGAGGATTTGACCTACACTCCCCAATATTCATGCTCGCCAGACGGGTCGAGGAGGTCTGAAGTTTATAAATAATGCGTCACTTCAGCGGGACAAGCCATTACAAAAATTAAAAGTAATGCCAAAGTTAGCTTTCTAACATCACCGCTCTACCAAAACACCTTTTTATCTAGAAAATACGAGTATTTCATAAGATACCCATCAGCGTCCTCATAAATAACCCTTCCCGTCTGCGGTGGTAATTTATTAGCTTGTCACAAACAAGAAACAATTCTATTTCTAATTAAAACGCGGACCGCGCCGGGGCCTTCGGTTGTCAATAGCAGGAATGGAAATGGTTTTACGTGAGCGTTTGAAAGCGCTTCAATGGCTGACGTTTTTAACTTCGAGTTATTTACAAGAATAACTTGCAATTTGAAGGGCGCTACGCTGAATTTGGATAAAAATAGCACCAGGTTGTTTTGTCCCTAAAATGTAAGCATTGTTTCCATACAATTTGAGGACAGAATAAAATACAGGCCGGTGTTACATAAGTGGAAACGGGTTGCGCTTTGACATGTTGTACGAAAGCCTTTATTTTGTGGTAAAAAAGAATGAAACATTATTTTACGTTCTCTTGCTAGGCAAAGTAACGACTAAAATCTTTTTTGATGATATACTTATGAATTACAATATCCGACAAGAACAACTTCAGGAACGAAAATATGTTTTGGTTCATCCCATCAACCATGACTGATTTATGGAGTTACTTCCCAACTCGAAATGCTAAGCGATAAAGACAGACATTAAAATTAGAAAAAACTATGCAATAAAAGCACTGTTACTGAGCATGTAATAGAAGAACACCAAGATCTAGAGTACTCTTATTCGTTGCATCTTTTCGCAGGAAAACCAGTGCATGCGCATCAAGATCCTAGGCGACTGCTACTACTGCGTGTCGGGCCTGCCGGTGTCGCGGCCCAACCACGCCTACAACTGCGTCAACATGGGCCTGCAGATGATCGACGCTATCAGGTAAGATCTCGTTTGTTCCGAACAAATCACACCAAAACGAGTATCAATGTTACTTATTAAGAGGTTATTAAGGGAGAGATTATGTACGACACCAGTTTGGCCAGCGTGGAGCTTAAGGAGTGTAGGGCAAGTCTCTCTGGCCTCTAGTAAATTAGAGAGGATCATCCTTCTGTAGTGGAGACTGAGAGAATGATGATAACACATAATTTTGTCCTCTAAGCTCAACGTAATACCTCCTATAGACTTAAGATTACACTCATCCATCGACGCTAGTACCACAGAATAATAATAAGTACTACGTACAGAAGGTTTACTTCGCGAAAGTATTTAAAAACATGTATGCTCAATGTCATTAACAATATGGTGTAATTTATCTTGTCTCAAGAGTCAAGCACCATTTTGTTGACAAACGTCAGTGATCGGTACTGCGCCGACCGAAGCCATAGGACTGACTTCGGTAAAATGATGTGTGACGTGAGGTGCCAAACTGCAGAAAATGGCGGAGGAAATACATAATTAAGCATGAATTCTCATGAATAATATTAACCACTTATTTACCAGTGTCTTCAGGCAACTTAAAAAAAGTACATTCTATGTTTTTATTATTATTTAGGCAATTAAATACTGCACAGTATTCATTTTCTTTATTTTTTCCATCATACACAAGAATACGCGTGCGTTAAGTCAATGCTATCGAATAGTAATCCTGTAGGGTGCCATCGTGCTTGTTTTGTTTTCGATGTAAACTCGCGGAGATGAACAGGCCTGCTAGTACTATTGATCATTGTTTCTCACCAGGTTCGTCCGCGAAGCGACGGGTTTCAACGTGGACATGCGCATCGGCATCCACACCGGCAACGTGCTGTGTGGCGTGCTGGGCCTGCGCAAGTGGCAGTTCGACGTGTGGAGCGATGACGTCACGCTGGCCAACCACATGGAGTCCGGTGGCATTGCTGGGTAAGTGTTTATGAGCTTCTAAAGCATGGATCTTACTGAAGCGGTAACCGCTTTGCAGAAAGAAGGCTAATATGATGCTACAAGATGCGTGCGATACACGTTATCGCAAAAATCGTCTTTGCGAAACATCAGCACTAGCATCAGCATTGAATTGACATTCGTCGATAATTTGTGCGTCAAGCCTTCACTGGGATCGATTTCTATGTAGCACAACTCAAAGATCACTAAAATTCCCATCCCAGAAATGTTTCCGTGGATTCTGTACTTCATGGTAGCTTCATTTTAGGAATCAGTAACTACCCACTTGGCTTTGCAAAGTAAAAAGACACAAGTTCAATAATTTTATTTGCATCGAACTAAAACGTCTATATTTTCATTTATTTATTTACAGTGCTAGACGCCCCTTAATATTCAGACAAGGTAGAGCGAGTAGCTTCTGTTTGAGGAAAATTTTTCACAATTGCTTTGCTCGAATAGTCAAAACAGTTGTAACGTAGTTATATTTTACAGTCCTAGAATTTCACGAATAACAGTTTCCCTTCCAATGTCTTACTTAATAATATTCCACTTTACAATTCAAATAACCTATCTCCGCTGATCCAATGATCACCTTCTTTTTATTTAAACAGCGCAGTTGAATTTTAAACGAGAATATTCATTCATTTTTTAAATCACGAAAAACAGTACACGCACATTGTACTCCTATTATATGAAACAGCAGACAATCAATTAAAGACTATTCGATGATTAATCGATTGAAGTAAATCGTACAAAATTATCCTAAGGTTGTTCAACTGACTGTATCGAGCAATTCTGGGGCATATTTCATTGTATAACTTGTATCTTCATAATAATTTTGTCAATATTTGATTTTCTGAAGAAAGGCTGAAGAATTCAAGTCTATACCTACGAGTATTTCATTATAATACACGGGTGGAATTTCAGCCAAATACATATTTGTTCGTCTGTAGTTTAATGAAGTGAAGAAATATCTTCATTTATTAAATAACTTTCTTATATTGAAGTTGCTTTTGATCTCTGAAAAGACCTACGATAATTTACTCAGCAAATATACTGCTATTTTTTCAGAAAAACTTAAGTCCCTTATAGGATTACAAATTAGCAGAAAAATGCGAAGGGGAAAGTTAACTTAGCGTAAAGCGAAATGAAGATATTAACTTTTAGAAGTAAATCTGCTAATCCTCTTAGCGAATACTCTCGTTTTCAGTTTCATCGGAGTGTCTGAATGTTTATGATAATATGACGAGATTTTTCATTTTAAACGTTTAAGGTGTTTTAACTTTAGAAATAACGTTTTAATTTACTTTAAATAAATATTTTTTTGTATTGAAAACTTTTAGTTTACATAAAAGCTTTCATGCAATGTAAAATAGACGGTATCTGACAGTTTTCCTATCTGAGAATAATGATAATTTAAATCCTAAAAATATGTTACTTTAACAGCTAAGTATAGACGTCCCATGAATTACGATAAAAAAACAGTTTTTGTTCAACACATATTTTTTCTAACTCTATGATAACTGCATTGAACCACAGTAAAACATAACACGTAAAATCTAATTAATGCTATAGTGGCCCTTAGTACGGGGCTATTTATATTGGGGCTTTGTGCTGACAGAAATAGACAGGGACTTACCGGCCTAAGTCAATTCGGTAATTTTACCCAAAAAGATCAATTATGGTTCACAAGTTGTTGGTAGTATTTTGGACTTCAAAGAAGTTGGATATTTGCCGTTCACTTTTGTTTACATCTTGTAAATATGCATTTGCCTTGCGTCATTTACTTGTTTTATTATTATGTTAACCTTGTTGTTGTTGTCACTATTTTTTATTTTGTTCTTGAGTTGAGTTTGCTGTTTGCTTAGTTGTTATTTACTTGACGTCCAATGTAATTGTTGTTTTTGTTCATGATGATACTATAAATAAAATTCTATTAAAATTATTAAAAAAGAATAGGTACCGGTTACAAAACAGGTACAAAAGTATGATTTGAAATCTGTGCTGTACAAAATTTAATATCAGATTATCATTAACTAGGTAAACATTACTTAAATATTAATCTCCGCTGTCCGACATTGATGGCCCCAAATAGATAGTTTTAAACCTTTTGAAAATATCTTCTTTGAACTACGGCCGCTAAATACTGTCCATAAAAGAGCTTTAGTAAAGCTTTTATCGTGAAAGGGCCGGAAAACAGTGTTACTAGATTAGCTTTCAGCTTTCAGCCCGTGTAGGCTGGAATAGAGTTTGATGCTTCCATTTCATAGTCTATTGACTCAATATTTTGAAAGCATACAGATTGACACTTGTAATCTGATTTTGACACTTTTTAAAAGTTTGAGCTTGATCTCAGTGTTACAAATGGGGCAAATTGAGTTATAGTAGAGCGAGTTGTCTCAACCAATCGATCAACGCTACCAATCGATCAACGTGGAAAGCATTGGGGGAGGCCTATGTTCAGCCGTGGACGTCCTATGGCTGAAATGGTGATGAGTTGTCTCAAATATGATTACTAGTATGTTCACTCACGTTCTAAAGACTTTTGACTAGGTAAATATATCGATAGAACTTTTTCGATAAATTTCTAAAAAAACTTGCGGACTGATCAATTTATTTGTTTTAACTTTGGCTAGCTTGGTTAGTTCGTCAAAAAAGGAAGAATTCGGCGTTGTTATCCCAGATTCATAATGTTAGCAGACTTTCAAACTTTAAATAAACAAGCTCGTTATACCATACTTAGGGATGACTTACTTGGGTAAACTTGTAATCTTACGTTCAATATTATGCAACCTCTTCTTCAGGTGTGAGTTCTTTGATTTTCACTACTGAAGAATAAATATCTAGTTAACATATTTAAGTAATTGTGTTGATTGATGAAATAAACTAAATCGCACTATCAATAAAGCATCCTAATACTCGACCTTTTATAATTGTTCACTTCGTCTATAACTTATAGTAGGATTCTATAAAAACGTTTCCATTCCCAAGTTTCTAGTAAAAATGGAAAAATTATAATCTAGGGGATTTCGATGTTGGTGCTTAGGGTTACCAAAGAAGATGGAAAGCTATTTAAAAGTAATCTAGAAACAATATTTAATTTACCTCTTAACTTCTAGCAGTTGTTTTTTATAATAACAACTGCTAGAAGTTGCTGAATAACAACTGCTATCAAGATAGATGATCAAGTATATTACATTAATAGAACATTGTAAACAGACAATACATAATTAATCATATTTAATAAGAAGACTATCTTCCTTTGGTTGCTTGCACTAATTAATTTGTGCTTGTGGACTTTCGTGACGCGCAAAAAATTTCGTAAGTTTTCATTTTATCGCAGCCTTGAAAAACCCTGACTATCGGAGTTGACAGCCCTATCAGTGATCGTTAATATTTCACCAAAGTTCGCTGGATTTCCGCTGATTGATTGAATTTTTTATATTCAATAACTGGGCTAATCAGCCTGTCGACTGAATTTGATAACTCACTCAACGCCAGTCAATTCTGAGATCGTTTTCTATTTGAATGTACTTAAATAAATAACTTTTAATGGGGTAACTCTTTAATGAAAATTCAAATGCAAAAAAGTATTTTAAGTATCTATAAAGGTTTTTGTCAGAGCACTTAACATGGCCCAATAGAGCTTACCCTATTACCACTTTAAGTCAGCACATCGGCTGTGACTGAAAAGAAGTGTCGGAAGAAACTCGATCATCTTCATTAATTACCATTAGTTTTTGGTTTTAATTCGACATAGGTACCTATTTGTAAATTTTCAGTCAATCTAAAAATACATAATTAAGTAAGCAATAATAAAATGACATAATTTAGCAATAATTAGGAGAGGCTATGTTCAGCAGTGGATGTCCTATTGCTGAAATGATGACGATGATAATATCTATGTAGTTACGAGTAGTATGTTATTTTCTCAGGTCTTGCCTATTTATTTTTCCACTGTCCTGACTAAATTTTAAGTTGTGTTTAACAAACACATCTCAAAACTTTAATGTTTTAGGCGAGTCCACATCACCAAAGCAACGCTGATGCAGCTGGGTGACAGGTTCGAGGTGGAGCCTGGAGACGGCATATCCAGGGAAGGGTATCTGGCCGACCATAAAGTGGAGACGTACCTCATCATTCCGCCTAAGGTAAATACTTTTTTATTTTACTAAGGCTGAGTTGCACCATCTTACTTTAACTTTCATCACCATCATTATCTCGGCCGTAGGACGTCCACTGCTGAACAAAGGCCTCCCCCAATGCTTTCCATGTTGCCCGGTTGGTAGCGGCGTGCGTCCAGCGCCTTCCTGCTACCTTTATGATGGACCGACGCACCTTCCTACTTTAACTTTAACAAACGTCAAAAATCTGTCAAACTCCGTACAAAAACACCATAGTCATACCATGTCATAATTACGATTATGTTATCTTGGTGCAACTCAGCCTAAATACAGAGCCACCATAAGAACGTAAACTGACTGACTGTTCTTAAACCTCTCGTTTCAGCACTGCAACTCGTATATACTTAACTAGAATCTACAGCTTGGTCGTTCATAATGTACTCGTAAAAACCAACAAATGTGTGGTGCTCGGTTGTATTGAAGCTATAAAAGAAAACTGTTGAGATAAAATAATGCAGTTGCAGAAGACTGCTTATCACTTTTATGTAATGCTTTATGACAGTGGGAGCTTTTTTGAGCTTTTTACGAACATTACAACGAGAATAGATGGTATTCATATAGCACTGCATAGTGCCAGCAGTATTTTTAAAGCTGCTTTGATTTTGTAAGGCAAGGCCACATATTAAACATCTTATTATGTATAATCATGAATCTTGTTTAGGCTTTCCATTATAAACACAATCGGCCAATTCCCGGGCTGATTCAATTACTCTTATTACATTCTCGTTTACCTCAATTCCCACCGAAAGTACAAAGGGGTCTCTATTAAGTATAAAGTACAAAGCGTATTTTAATTGGTTTCAAATAAGGCATGATGCGGTTACTGTGGTTATTAAAATATAATTTCATTACGTTCTTTACATGTCGAGTTGTGGGTCATTTTAGCTCAGAGAGGGAAAAAGATAAGTGATTAAAGAGCTCACCATTTAGTATGTATTTGTGTTTTTCAAGCTCAAATATTTATATGCAGCATGCTATAAGGCTAAACTTAGGCATATATGCTATGAAGCCTTAACTTTTTTTCAGGGTTTTAAAAACTATAATTTATGTTATCGAAATCCTAAATTGTTCAATGTTGGTTTTTGTCCTCAAAAATTTTTCATTTTCCAATACTAGTTAGGAATAGGCAGCATTTTGATGATAGCACAGTTTTGCCAGCCTATTCACGATACAGTCATTCAACGCAAGATCCAATCACTGGCACGGATGTCATCAACTCGTATCGCTTGTTTCGGCACGTGTCGCATGATCGAGTGATCGAATGATCGACTGATGGATGTCTCGATTCGGGACTCGAGTTGCGATCGACGCCCCGGGGAAATGAGACGTGATAGATCAGATAGATGAACTTTATTCGTATTTCGACATCGATATTCGGTCTGGATTGAGGTGATTTTGTTTGGGATATTCGTTTCGCTGTGATATGCAAAAATCTGATTTAAATATTGCAAACATTTTACTATGTAGAGCACAGATGCTCGTGTATACCACCGTTTATTGCTTCTATTTCAAAACTTTTTCCTGCTTTCATTCCAATCGTTTTAAATTAACGTTACCCATAGTAATATTATTAAATAATAGCAATTATTTTAAAGACTAAAACTTTTTTCTTATCTCTGACATGTGTTTTGTGTACGCCAATATTATTATTATGTTTATGTATCTAGGTGTATGTCTATTATATTAATATGTATTTTTATGTTATTTATTTTATCTAATGCTATGTAAGTATATTAATTAAACGTCATATTTATTGCACCGCCTTAGTCTCTCTACTCGACCTGTGGTTGACTGGCAGATAATGCCACCTGGCATTAAGTCCGCCACTGTACAATTGTATGTGCAAAAGTGTAAATAAATAAATAAATAAAAATTATTAACCATAGCAAACATTTCTTCTATCAGATTTCTGTAAACACAGATAGGTTCTTTAAAAAACAAGTTCATAAGAAGCTTTTTGTAAGCATGATAATAGATACTACATTCACGGTTCATGTACGCTGTTTGGCAAATGGACGGCGAACTTAATTCGCACGTAAACAAACTGTGGGAACCCACAGGTGGGACCAAGGGCCGCCCACGTGTCTTTGTTTGTGTTATCAATGGGTATTTTCCATCCGCTCTTTTCTATTGATTAATCAGAGCACCTACTTAGTAAAATGCTTATTTATTTAAGAGGGTGATTCAGTATTGTTGATTTACTTGCAATATTACAAAAACATTGAGGGATAGCTTCAGTCTTGCCGATATAGCCTTTTGGTTTTACTGGTAGAGTTTCCTAGGTTAGTTTTAGGCAATTAAAAAGATTTATTTATTAGTTTAGTATGTCAGATAACCATCTGAAACTTCATTTCTGAAACTGATCCTAAGAACTCTATGCATTTTGAATGAAAATGATTAAATCATGTATCGGGAAGGATAAACGTGACTCTATACATAATTTACACAACACCCGTTCACAAACTAGTGTCTAGTTTCAATCAAAGCAAAAAACGGTATCCACTCATAACTATAACAGAAGACTACCTAGTAAAGTGCTTAATTAAAATCATGAAGACGTTAAACGAAAAGGTTATCAATGTATCAAAGTAAAGGGTTTTAATTGGGTTAACATAGATGAAACATCTAACACGGGGCAGGTCAAGGTGATTGATAGGTTATGTTATGACTGAGCTTCAAAGGAGTCTTTTGGTCTCAATACAGCACCTTTATAGCTATGTAATAATGTTATCTACATATTATCTAGGAAGGATTTCATGGGATTCCAATTAAAACTGGGCAGTCTTTATAACCAACTTTTATGAAGTCGGTGCTAATTGTGATAATAATTATGAACTGTATGTTTTCAAGTAAGCAACTCATCCGTATGAGTTACTTGAAAAATCTGATGATCTTTTAATTATAATAGACAGCACGGAATTTAAAAACCTCTGAATTTCATAAATATTTTTGTGGGTTCAATATTAGTCATCCCTGAATAAAATTCAACGATTCAGAAAGTTGAACCAATGCAAAATAGCCTTCAAAATGTCTAAATGCCAAGCTTTAGTTCACTCACCGATTCAATTAAGGGATTTGGTGACGAAGGATTTACATTATTTACAAATTAAGTGCTGAAAACCCTTGAAATAATTGAAAACGGCTTTCAGTGAATGTTTGTATTAACTTCGGCATTTACCACCGTCCTACCACAGCATCTAGTGTTTAGATTGATCCTTGGGGTCTATTGTCTTACTTGAGAGTTGGCGTAGATTCAGACAAAGTGAATGTAAATTTCAGGGTATATTTAGTACTTGATTAGAACTAAGACTAAGGAAACAATTTACGCATAGCTATGCGAACCTGACATCGGTGGTATAAAGATAAAAGTTTATGCCTAGGCGCAGACCACCGACTTTTAGTTGGCCGATAGTTGGGTCGGGCTGTTAATCAGTATGGGAATGTATGAAAGTGCGCACATTACACCGTTTTGGTATCGACCGATCTTCATACAAATTAAAATTGGGCCCAACTATCGGCCAACTAAAAATCGATGGTCTGCACCTAGGTTAGAAGCAAAAATCTTTGAAAGTCCTGTGTCAGATTGATTCGGCGTTGAGAGGTTTGCTAAATCAGAATAAAACCTTATTTGTATATTTTTTTCTTGTAAATGCAATGTTTTAAAGTGTGTTTAGAAATCAAAGCAACACTTATTAAAAGGCAAATATGCAAAGAAAGAAGAACGATAAAATCTAACAAACTTTGTATAAACGCCGTTACGTCTACCTAAACAATGTAGAGTCTAAATGTAGGTGTTACAAAAAACATAATGTATTATGCTATCGGATATACCTTTGGGTCTACTGAATTTGGGATGTTTTACTTAGCCTTCCTCCAATGAAGACAAGTTTGATCGCACTATTAAATTAAGCTTCTGCTAACCTGTAGTTCCCTAGATTACTTTGGGTCTTAATGCTAGATTCTCACCTTTAACACCAAGCAATAAGAACAACACAATACAAACACAGATAGCCTGATGTTTTGTCCCTTGGGGTGCACGAGAAACGCACATAGATTAAGATAATACAATTACAGACGCTCTCGAGGCGTTTTCGTATTTGTTTCTACCTAATCAGGTTAGTAGACATAGCTAAGTTCAAGTCTTCATTATGGAGGTGTAGGTATCAGAAGTTTTTATTAGGGGAGAACAAAGGTACCTCTTTTAGTTCCCTAATTAATTGATCAGCAAATCAGGTTCCAGATTGATTTCCAAACATGAAACCAACAGAACCTACTTATTGGAGCAATTATAATGCTACATTTTCTTGAGCACAAATTAGTACCAACACGTGTAATTAATTAAATAATTGAGTCGTTTGAGAAAATTATTGTTAATTGTTACATTTCTCTAATTAATTGTTTATAGCAGAGTAACGGTTTCCAATTTAAGGTTCCAAGGGTTTCATTAGGTTGAAAATATAAGCTTTTGAACTACTGTTTATTTTATTCTATTGGGTAATGAATTTCTATTATTGTAGGACCTGTGAGCGGGGCCGGCTCAAAGTCCGATGTATTTATTGCACCCAGCTAATTGTTTAATTAAAGTTCAGTATCTAGATTACTATGTTTCGATTTGACTCATGGATTGTAGGAAAGCCGGCGCAATTTATGCAAAGTTACACTCAATAGTGTTTGCTGTTATTTTTTGAAAATTTTTGGGTTCAACATTTGGTATTTTCATTCAACGTTTTTTAATTTACGAAAATCAAAATCAGCTATAGCTCTACCTACTCTACACGGAGGAAGATAAATAAATAATATGTCTATTTCATATAGTAAATACATCAAACCATAACCACCATCGTTTAAATCAAAAGGCATCCATTTGCTGGACAAAGACCTCCTCAAAGAATTTTCTCGAAGATCGGTCCTGCATTGCTTGCAACTAGGAGCTTCCCACGCTTCATCTGATCATCGGTCCATCGAGTGGAAAACCGGGTATTTACGTCAGTAGTCACCATTCGAGAACTTTTCTGCCCTATAGCCATATTTAATCAAATCTAAGAAAATTCCCATTAAATTCCAGAAACCAGGAGTCTCCGACAACGGCCGCCTCTCAGTCTGTACTGTAGACCGCAAAGCCAGCATCGTCTCGTCGATCTACCAGGACGTGTCGCCGACCAAGCACAAGAGCAGCATCAGTCCGGCGCCTTCGCAGCACAGCTTCAACGAGCACGATGCGTTTCCGAAGGTGCTGAGGACGGAGAGCATGAGGACTACGCCGGGAGGTAAATCATTAAATGAAATTAAACATTTTTAGGGAAGAGCCTGGATGCGGGCAGCGCAGGACCGTGCATTGTGGAAAACCTTGGAGGAGGCCTTTGTCCAGCGTCCACTGCTGGTCATTTGGCTGAAACGACCGAACGAATGAAACATTTTTATAACATTAGTCATCACAAGGTGGACAGACGTCCTTATACTTAAAGGCCAATCTGGAAATCAAATGATCAAGATCAAGTCATTTAGTCTCCACTACAGGAGTACGAACACGAAATTGAGCCTACACTAATCACATGTAGGCCAGACAGGTTGAGGAGGCCTGATGTTCTCATTAATGTTCCAAAATAAAAACCATTAAGATGGATTGAATCATTATTATCAACAGCAAGAGTTAAAATTAAATATTATGTGCTCGTATTTCCAACATCTTGTGGAATTCTAAATGAACATTGCCCATACTTTCATAGATGAAACTGAAATACAAAAAGTAAACATTTACTTATCATCACGTTAAAGTGACGTTTAATTTAACATTCCAGAACTCAGTCGCCGTGCCTCAGTGAAGGTGGATGGTGGGAAGACAGTGGCCTTCGAAGGCAATCCTGCCACCAGCCCTGGGGAAGGCATGGGGAACGGCACAGTCGTCACCGTCAAGCCAAAGAGTCGCAGCGGCTCCATCATCGGTGCTATTAGCCCCATTATGGGAACAGGTATTGTATTTAACAAGAACTTCAAAATCCGTCTTTATTCTTCTAACAGAATTAATTACGCGTTACAGACGTTCCATTTAGATGATAATAGTATTAATCTTCACTGTTTGGGCTTTGATGGCGGCAAAATAATAGATTAGATACAGAAGTTTACATCAGGATCAAAAAAATTGGAAACTATTCATGGGCTTTTATAAATACTTTGTGATTCTCTAATAAACAAGTTAAGGAATTAAAAGATACGAATGTATGTATAGACATTATCTTCTATATTTTATTTAGCTCTTGAAATCTTTGGCTAGTCTTAGTTAATATTTATTATTGTCTTTTCTCCAGAAGATTGTTCTGATGAATCAGCGTCACCTTCAACTCCTTCGGATACGTTACAACCGACACTTTTTCTTAGGATGCTAAGTACAATTTCGGTGGAATCTCTAAGTTAGTTTGACAATATTAAACCCGGTTCCCTTTGTATTTTAACTTTCTCAGTATCATCACCATGTAACCCGTGTTGTACTGCATCTCGATAGATTTTCAAATTCATTTGGTTCCCCGAAAGATTCAAAACTGATTCTTTAATCTTATTCTTTATTCTACACGTGTATTGTGTATAGTTCATTTTCCTGCAGTTTCTACTCATTTACTTAGATGTTTACGTTTTGTGAAGTCTTCCGATATCAGTTCTTGTATGTTTTATTATTGTACGTATCTTGAATCTTCCAATACAACTGAAGAGCTGGCATTGTCCTTGAAATATAGCATGAATCTTTGTAAATATTATTCACGTTTGTTCTTATTTAAAAACCTTTTATGATTGTTATCCTTTTCAGCTACCCCTGGGGTGCCAAGCAGGTCTCGCCCTTCGAGCAAAATGACAAAGTATGTCGAATGTTGGGGAGCTGACAAGCCTTTCGCCAATATCACTGATTCCACTCTTGCCAAGAATATTGGGATTTCTGTAAGTTTCCATAATATACCTAATATTGTGTTTGCTTTTATTAAAAACGAAGATTCGTTACAAATTAATTTATCTTGTATTTTTCAGAGCTTAGCCATGATCGAACAAAACTTATTGCCACAAAGAACAACGTGCTGTGAGTGCAGGTAAGTTTTATGTTTTCCTTTCTTTGTTGTTTTAATTGTAACTCAAATTTAATTTCCATTGCATTAGATAATTGTTTCTGGTGAAATCATTGATAACAATTTTTTTATCCCCAACGGGGAAGCTCTTGACCTGAATCTCACCTGATTTCATTTTTCATGATTATTTTCTGGTCCAAATCCTCAATATGCTTGTAGTAATTTCGAAAGGATATTGCTTCTGCAGTGGACACTAAATAATGATCTGATGATGATAATTTATGGATACTGGAACTACTGGATGTTGACCTGATGAATATAATTATGGATTGTTCTTAATTTCCAGCACGACCGCGGAAGGCATGAACCGCGTGACGCTCTGGTTCAAGAACAAGTCTCAAGAACGAGCTTACCGCGCGCAGCCCGACGCACAGTTCAAGTATAACGTCGCGTGCGCAGCCGCGCTCTTCGCGTTACTGGCTACATTGCAGTTGCTGACTGTACACAGGTTGGTAATACTCTTCCGGATTCCAGACTCTAGTACAGGTGGTTAAAAAGCCATATTGGATATGCTAACCGTAACAACCTTATACAGTTCAGCTCTGCTGACTATAGTCTTTTTTTTTNTAAAAAGATTATTAGTAATTTGTTATTACACAAATTACTAATACTCCCGTTAGCCCCTCGTACTAAGCTAAATATGCTTGTGTCACGAGTGAGCTCACCACAATAGTCGAGCGGCGGCGGGGACCGAACCCGCGTTCCCCGGATCACGAGTCGGCCAGTCCGACCCCTTCACCATTCGGCTATCGTGGCATTGAGTCTATAGCTCGACTCAGTGTGGACATCTTAGTTCAAGAACAATATAGCTGCTGACCGTACACAGATAGGTGCTGCTGATTGTACTCACACACACTAGAGCAGCTTAGTAAATAGTTCAAGCCGTATTGCTGCTGCTGACCGGACCCAGGACAGTTTTGTTGACTCCTGGCTATTATACTTCAGAATGGGTAGTTCAAGAGCCATAATGCAGCGTTGACAGTACACAGGTCGGTAGTTTACTAACTCCAGACTCTAGCTATACTCTGGTTTAAGAACAAGTCTCAAGAAAGAGCCTACTGCACTCTTCGCGTTACTGGCTACGTTATAGCTGCTGACCGTACACAGGTTGGTTTTGATTTGAAGCCACAATTAAAATGTGACGTTAATCTTCAAATTTGCCAAATTATTTTTAGATTTTACTCAATAATGTTAATGAAATTCAAGAATCTATTTCATTAATGGACTACAAGAATATCATGTCCGATGATTACTATATATTTTTAAGCTTATTATATGAGCATAAATAATAGATACAGGACCTTGAAATAGAGTCTGCGGAAATTTTTCCGTAAAATGGTAGGCACTGTAAATTAAGCAAAAGAGTTTTAGTATTCATTATAATCCGTTTCATTAATGGTCAACACCAAGGATTGACCTATCTTTCGCAGTTATTAAATAATCTCTGGGTGTTGCTTAAGATAGTAATTCATGCTTCCAAAATCTTAGAAATTCGCACGAAAATGTGAAATGGCTCTTAATCGGCAACTCTCAAAATATTCAAAGCATTGTCTACCAACAGAGTAGACCACGAAAGTATTTTCCTTAAATAATCAAGCTCAACTCTTCTTTCCAGGGGAATAGTTCTATACGCAGCATTCGGGCCGACCTTCATCACGCTGATGGTGTTCGTCTACCTTTCATGGTACGATGGCCGCGTGTTCAGAAGAGGGATGCACCCGCTATCTGACGTGCCTGATGACATATACGCCGACAACTGTACGAAGCCTGGACAGGTTGGTGAGATATATTTTTTTATGCAAGACAAGGCATGCTATTTGACCGCAATCGCACCTGGTGTTAAGTGAGATGCAGTCTAGGATGATACATATCTGCCCTGTAAGTGCCTATTCACTCTCTTGTCCTTACTGCTAAGTGCATACTGTCTGGACCTGTACTTATCCGGACAGGTTTGTGAGCTAAGTTAGACAATGACCTTCATCACTCTGATGGTGTTCGTCTACTTCTCGTGGTACGACCTAAGGGTACGACGGCCGCGTGTTCAGGAGAGGGATGCACCCGCTGTCTGACGTGCCTGATGACATATACGCCGACAACTGTATGAAGCCCGGACAGGTTGGTGAGATAAACATACTACTGTCTGGACAGGTTTGTGAGCTAAGTTTGACAATTACCTTCAACACGCTGATGGTATTCGTCTACCTCTCATCTGCTGTGCCTGATGACATATACGCCGACAACTGTACGAAACCCGGACAGGTTAGTGAGATAATATTACCGTCCGGACCTGTACTTCTCCGGACAGGTTTGTGAGCTAAGTTAGACAATGACCTTCATCACGCTGATGGTATTCGTCTACCTCTCGTGGTACGACGGCCGCGTGTTCAGAAGAGGGATGCACCCGCTATCAGACGTGCCTAATGACATTTACGCAGACAACTGTACGAAGCCCGGACAGGTTAGTGAAATAAGTTTACTGTCTGGACCCTCCGGACAGGTTTGTAAGCTAAGTAAGACAATTACCTTCAACACGCTGATGGTATTCGTCTACCTCTTATCTGATGTGCCTGATGACCTGTACGCCGATAACTGTACGAAGCCCGGACAGGTTAGTGAAATAAGTTTACTGTCCGGACCCTCCAGACAGGTTTGTAAGCTAAGTAAGATAATGACCTTCATCACGCTGATGGTGTTCGTCTACCTCTCGTGGTACGACGGCCGCGTGTTCAGGAGAGGGATGCACCCGCTATCCGACGTGCCTGATGACATATACGCAGACAACTGTACGAAGCCCGGACAGGTTGGTGAGATTTTACTGTCCGGACCTGTACTTCACCGGACAGATTTGTGAGCTAAGTTAGGGCTATATTTCACTGGGACACCATGGCGGCGCAACCAGTCGCCGCTACCAACAAAATGTATGCAGCTTAGCGCAACCAAACGGACACCAGGTGAGTAACTCTCTATAGAGCTGCATACATTTTGTTGGTAGCCGGCGACTGGTTGCGCCGCCATGGTGTCCCGGTGAATTAAAGCCCTTAGACAATTACCTTCGTCACGTTGATGGTATCGTCTACCTTTCGTGGTACGATGTGTTCATGAGAGGGATGCACCCGCTATCAGATGTGCCTGATGACATATACGCAGACAATAGGCTAGTTGCCTAAAAAAATTTTTTTAGTCCGTAATGTTTAATATCAAAAAATATTGGACATGTATAATTTTGTTTGTCAATCTAACAAATAATTACATAGTTATGCTGCGTTGAAGTTGCGCACGACGTCACAACGTGCGGCATTTTTAAGCAAGCGTTGACGTCACGGGCCTCTTCTTATGAACTTTGGGGCGCTTTATCTCTTTAAATTTTCATTAGTTTGAAAAAGTGAAAAATACGTGTAGAGTATTTTTTGATAAGTTAACTGACGGACTAATTAAAACTCTTGCTTTTTGACCCAGGCAACATCCCCATTGTACGAAGTCCGGACAGGTTGGTGAGATAAACTTACTGTCCGAACCTGTACCTATTTCGGAGTGAAAATGAAGTAGTATTTTTAAATGAAACTGTTTAAATCTATTCCAGGTAGTGGCGAGTAATCGTTTCATCAGGCTGACAATGTTCATTGTATCGGTCCTACTCATTGGTGCCTGTGCTGTGATTAATTTGGTGAGTAGTTTGAACTTGATGTAGTAGAATTTTAAGTAGTCGTTACAGTGTTATTCGTAACAAATATTAGTATAACAGTACTTATTATTATTCTGTGGTATTACATAGGAGAACTAGGTAATTTAAAAAAAAATGAATTTCTGTACAAATGTCTATTTTTTTCTTTTTCAGTTTCAACCAACAATGATCGAAGAAATACCCATATCCTTAAGAAATGGCTCAGAACAAGTCAACAGCACATTGATTAGCGTCACGCCAACGTTGTATTTTTCTGAAGTGGATTCAGCTCCTGTAAGTAATTATTCATCATCATGTTCATCATCATCATTATCTTCTGCCATAGGATGTCCACATTTGAATACAGGCCACGGCTTTAGTCCAACCATTCCATACTGTGATACCTTTTGATTTTGTAATATGGACTGTAACTTCGAACTCCTCCTATGTTCATCTGATTAATATCGTTGCGGGTCTAATGACAGTTTTACTTTTCCCCGGGACAAACTTGACCTTCACTGGTTGGGTTTTTATTGGCGGTCAAGCTGTAGATCCTGGCTACACAGGAGTTGCAGCGGTGGGAACGAGAGGTGGGAATATTCCCGTTTTATGAATAACTAGCGGCCGCCCGCGACTTCGTACGCGTCGTGGATCCCGTTTTGCCCCCTTCATTTATCTTACGCGGTTTAGATTTTTTCATACAAATGTTTTTTCCCGCTAACTCCCGTTCCCGTAAGAATTTTGCAAAATCCTGTTGGTGTGGCGTGTAAATAGCCACACCAGGCGGGATCTTAATCGGAAGTCCAAATTACGTTTCCCAAATGATTTTGCCTGCAGAGGAGAAATAGTTGGTCCCACTAACCTCTGAGCCAATCTCGGGTCCCCTTCCGTCAGCTCGACCACTGCTGGCACCGGGACACTCCGGGATGTAGATGGATCGGCTTCACTTCCCCTGCAGGGGGTTCAGGTCACGAGCAATTTGGGCTTTGAATGCGGAGATGCGTTTGCTGCGTATGCGTTGTGCGTTATGATGCGATTTGCGGGAGATAAAAGTGCGGTTTTTTCACTCGCGAAACTGCGAAGATGTGCGATGCGTTTAAGTTCTTACGGTGAAGTGTGTCAAAGCTTGACGTTCAGAAACGCCAAGAATGACCACAGAGATGTGGAAACCAAACAGTTTTCTACCTGTAGACAAAACTATTTGGGAATTAAAAATAAACATAAAACTGCGTACATCTGCGTAACCACCTGTTGTAACTAAACTTTAAGTTTACTAAGGTACCTGCATGCCACATTTCAAGCGTCTAACTTAAGCGGTTTAGATTTTTCATATAAAAGGATTTTCCCGCTAATTCCCGTTCCCGTGGGAATTTCGGGAATTCCTTTCTTAGTGCACCTCTACGGTACCTAAGCTACGTCCCTTCCAAATTTCAAGTGCCTACTTTTATCCGTTTAGGCGTTAATATGTCAGTCAGTTTCTCCTTTTATATATTTAGATGTGTTAAATGTTAAAATTTCAGAGCTACCTGTACAGTTCTGTGATCACGTTGGCGTGTATTTCGGTATTTCTGCGCGTGGGCTTCGTTCTCAAGCTGGTGCTTATGTGCGCGACACTCGCCACTCATATCTCGATGTTCGCTGCTTCGGACCTGTTTGATCATTACCACGGCCTGGGATCGGGCAACGAGTAAGTACTTTGAGATAGGACTTAAATAATGTTTTTCTAGCTGATCATCTTCGTCATCAGGTCACTCAATCTCCACTTCAGGGAGATGATCAACCTCCCTAATGAGGGATATTGAAAATTCGCTTTATACCTGTCCTTATACTTCCCACGCTGGCCAAATGAGTTAGGGAATCCTCTGTTGTTGTGCCGATTTTATCTGTCCATCTAGTTAGATGGACAGATACCCCTGAGTTCAGGGGTGGCCAACTTGATTAGACATATTAAGATCTACTGTTTACTAACGAAACCCTGAGTGATCAAAATCAAATCAAAATCAAAAATATTTATTCAGTTTAGACCACAAGTGGCACTTATGAACGTCAATAGAAAATAATAAAAAAAGAAAAGGTAGCCCTTATGGGGCACTTTACATGTCTCCTTATCTTTTGGGCCCTACCAGCGCTTCGAGATCGAGACAAACACATGGCAAGTGCTAAGAAGAAACGCCGAAACAAACTCAGTCACCACTTACACTTACATACTTCTTGAAATCTTAAATGAAACAGCATAGTTTAGTACACAATCATGAAGTATTTTTTGCGTTGCCACGATCGACTGGACTAATAGTTGCGATCGACCGGTTGGTCACCCCTGATCTAACTGAATATACGAGTATACCAATGGTAGTATCTCATGATTTGTAAGATCTCTCTTATGGATTCAGTCCAGTAATTTATTCATTAACTTAATAAGTATTAATGTGCCGTCAACTTCCAATTTCATTATTTGAGCTAGAGTCTTTCTCCTAAATACTTCACTATTGACCGTTTGAACAATTTAAGATTCTCCATGGTGCCATGGGCAGCCCGAGCAGGCTTAGTACTGGTATTCGTAGCGGCCTTACTGCATGTCATGGATCGCCAGATCGAGTTCACTTCGCGAACTGACTTCCTGTGGAAAGATAAGCTCAAGTTCGAACAGGAGGAGGTGGAAACCATGCGAGGAATCAACAAGGTATGAGATGTTATGTCATACTTTTAGACATTTATTCTGACATGTTTGTACCTACTTTGACTTATCTTAGGACATATCGCAACTCTATCTTGATGAAATCTTTATAAGAGATAACCCATTTTTAATTTACATAACCCTGTAGAATACCTAAAATAAAAATACAGAAGCATAATTTCTTTTCTTGCAGATTCTTTTAGAAAACATCTTACCAGCTCACGTAGCGCAACACTTCTTGACTTCAGTCGCTTCAGAGGTATGTATCGTGTGATAAAACCACCTAACTAAGAACCTGAGAGTTACGGGTTCGATTCCCAGTAGGAGCAAATGTAACGCAGTTTTGAAAGCAGCGTCTACTGCTGAATAATGATTTTCAGGACCATGAATAAACCACGGATACTCTCGGCGCACTTAAGGGACTCTTATCTAAAATAAGACGTCAATATTTAGGTGACAATTTATTGCTTGACACAGGTTGTCAATGGTTCACAAAGGTTGTCAAAGGTTAACAGATGTCAAAATACTCCAGGTATATAAAGCCAGGGAAAAAAATCTGGACACCGCGGTACAGCTTTATGCGTCTCAAAGAGCAGTGACCTCTCTCGGCAAATAACACAAACAAGTTTCATGGTAGGTTTATACACTGACCGTTTGGTAGCGGCTTACGGCCAGTGCCTCCCTGCTACCCTTATGAGGTCGTCGGTCCACCTTGATGTTCTATTAACTTGTTTACCCTGATTATCCAGGAGGACTTATACCACGAGCGTTACTCCAGCATCGCAGTGATGTTCGCATCGATTCCCAACTACAAGGAGTTCTACGACGAGACCGACGTCAACAAGCAGGGGCTCGAGTGCCTGCGACTGCTCAACGAGATCATCTGCGACTTCGACAAGGTAATCATCATCAGCCATGTGCATGTCATCATCAACACCACCACCACCATTATAGTCGTAGTCATTATCATCACCTTCGTCTTCTTCATATAAATCATCATCACTGTCGTCATCATCAGTATCTTCTTAAATATCAGCATCAGTACATTTAGTCCCCACTGGAGGAGTTAGCACGACACTCTCGTTATTTACCTGAGGCAACAGAAGGACTTGGTCTACCCTATGTTAGCCAGACTGGTTGGAGATGATGCCTGATGTTTAAATAAATTTTGTTCTTTCGTCGCCATTAATTTCAGCATCAATCTATGAGTATGCCCAAGGAATCCGAAGCCCAGATTCCTAAACTTCTTAAAGACTTTCGTAAGCGAACTTTTGGAAAAGTGAATGATCCATTCACATGAAAATTATTTTTCATTTCAGTTGCTCTTGAAACCAAAGTTCAGCTGCATAGAGAAAATCAAGACGATAGGAAGTACTTACATGATCGCGTCAGGACTGAGGCCCGGGAAAGAGGAACAAATTGTAAGTAAAAAAACACGAGGAACAAATTGTAAGTCAAAAACCACATAGAACATTGGTTCTAAGCCATGTTAAATTATTAAGTATTTAATATCTTTGTCGTATGATTTTAGGACGCAAATCGTAAGGAAGAGCACACAGTAGCCATTTTAGTGGAGTTTGCGATCGCGCTAATGACGATACTGGATCAAATCAACAGGGAATCCTTCCAGAGGTTCAAACTTAGGATAGGTGAGTTATTATTTTTGTAGTGAATAGTCCAACCTCAACAAGGTGTTAAAATATTATTTAAAGAATGAAAACATCATCATAGTCATAGTCGGCCGTTTGGTGTAGTGGTTCGAAACGGACTACTATTCCGGAGGTTGCAGGTTCGATTCCCGCACAGTACAAACATTTGTGTGCATGAACATATTTGTTTGTATTGGACTGGGCGTTTTCTATGTATAATAAGTATGTATTTACAAAAAAAAAAAAAGTATTCAAGTATGTTTATATCCGTTGTCTAGTACCCATAGTACAAGCTTTGCTTAGTTTGGGACTAGAAGCGCAGTGTATAATGTCCAAGGATATTTATTATTTATTATTATTATCACTCTTGCTTTCCTTTACTTTGGTAACATTGTTAAAGATAAGCTAAAGCTGTTTAGAGCTAAAATGCCTTGTTTTACCTAAAATTATAGTCCAGGCTACTAACAGTAACCTATGAAGAACTTTACTGTTCATCAGAAAAAGAGTCCCTCGTTCAGATCCGGCTCGAAGGACCATGTTATTAATGACCATGAGGTCATTGGTCTGACCTACAGGCCAGTGATAATAATATAATAGAATCATTTATTTGGCACACAATACAAGATAATCATACTAAGAACAAAAAGAAACCTTATCTTAATTAAATTAAAATAGGTTTGAGGTCCCTGGCTAGGCTTTAGCCGTGACATGTGTCATGATCGTTCAATCATAGGCGATTATCACACTGCACCGCGCTCCGCCGCGGTACGCGGGACGACAGATTTAATCATTGTATGCAAGTACCTCAGTTTGTATAGAAAACACGCGCGGCACAACACACTGACAACGCGTCTGCGCGCGGGATTTTTTAAATGTAGCCACGCGGACCGCGGCGGAGCGCGGTGCAGTGTGATAATCGCCTTAATGCCATCGGACACCCTCCCAGTTATGTGTGTTCACTATGTATTAGGTCTGAACCATGGGCCGGTGATAGCAGGCGTGGTGGGAGCCCAAAAGCCTCAATACGACATCTGGGGGAACACCGTCAACGTGGCCTCGCGTATGGATTCCACCGGCGTCATGGGCCGCATACAGGTCACCGAGGACACCGCCAAGTGAGACATCATCTATACTAATATTATAAAGCTGAAGAGTTTGTTTGTTTGTTTACTTGAACGCGCTAATCTCAGGAACTACTGGTCCGATTTGAAAAATTCTTTGAGTGTTAGAAAGCTCATTTATCGAGAAAGGCTATATACCATCACAATACGAGTAATAGAAGCAGAGCTACAATGAAAAATGATGCGAAAACGGGTTTTCACGCGTACGAAGTCGCAGGCGCAGCTAGTCCTTTATAAGTGCTTTAATTTTAAGTAGCTGTGGGATGACTCAAACTCTATAACAGTAAGACGGTAAAGGACACCAAATAGGACCAGTTGGACTCCACCAGCGTCATGGGCCGCATATAGGTCACCGAGGACTCCGCCAAGTGAGACATCATCCTTTATAGTGCTTTAACTTTAAGTAGGTAGCTGTGGGATGACTCAAACCCTGTGACAGTAAGACGGTAAAGGACACCAAATAGGACCAGTTGAACTCTACCGGTGTCATGGGCCGCATACATGTCACCGAGGACACCGCCAAGTGAGTCATCGTCCTTTATAGTGCTTTAACTTTAAGTAACTGTGGGATGACTCAAACCCTGTGACAGTAAGACGGTAAAGGACACCAAATAGGATCAGTTGTACTCCACCGCATACAGGTCACCGAGGACACCCCCAAGTGAGTCCTTGCCTTGAATAATGCACTAGGTATAGCGTAGAGACTCCACCGGCGTCATGGGCCGCATACAGGTCACTGAGGACACCGCCAAGTGAGTTATTGTAGAGCACTCGTTCGTTTGTTCGTTTCAGCCAAATGACGTCCACTGCTGGACAAAGGCCTCCTCACGGTTTTCCATAATGAACGGTCCTGCGCTGCCCGCATCCAGGCTCTTCCCGCGACCTTTACCAGATCATCGGTCCACCTAGTAGGAGGCCTGCCCACGCTACGTCTTCCAGCCCGAGAACTTTCCTGCCCCAACGGCCATCGTTTCTACGAGCTATCGAGAAAGAGGTCAATCGTCGAATCCAACTCGGATGGGCAGCGTTCAGGAAGCTTCGCCATATACTCACGTCCGAAATACCTCAGTGTTTCAAGTCAAAAGTCTTTGACCAGTGTGTGTTGCCAGTGATGGTATACGGATCTGAGACGTGGTCGCTTACTATGGGCCTCATAAGAAAACTCAAGGTCACCGTGCGTGATCGAATCAGAAATGAGGAGATCCGCAGGATTGCTAAAATCAAGTGGCAGTGGGCGGGACACATAGCTCGTAGAGACGATGTAGAGAACAAGAATTTGGGTCAGCTATAGCGTAGAGAAGCATACAAGTCACCGAGGACACCGCCAAGTAAGAAATTAAGTGTTTTAATGTAAGACTGACGACGGTTAGCGACACCAATTAGGACCAGTTTAACTCTACTGGTGTCACCTAGGATACCGCCAAGTGAGTCATTGCTCTGTATTATTTGCGACATAAAATTAGCACTGTTACCAGCGCAGCGTCATTACTGGTAAGGGTCAGTCAATAAAGGTAATTGAAAACAGCGCTAAATAAAATTCAAGATATTTTTACTCTTTGATTTCCAAGCCAGTGATTTTGCTCTCTCTTTATAGGTAGGAGCAACTAAAGTTATTAGGTTCCTCAACCACATTTTTAACTCGTCAATCGTAATCAACCTTTTCACATAAAAATAACCCTAAAACCATAATAAACACCCATTTTCTGTCACCAGAGTCCTTATGAACGTGGGATACACCTGCGAGTGCCGCGGTCCCACATACGTGAAGGGCAAGGGCACGCTCACTACGTACTTCGTGAAGACTCCCAACGTCGGCGGCGCGTGAAATTAACTGAGAAGAAATTATCAGGCGCTAAAAAAAATATCAAAAATCAAAATTTTCTTTATTTGTTTAGACTAATTAAATTAGTACTTGCAAATCGTCAAATGCTCTTAAGGAGCCTATACATGTCTCATTCTTTTTTTGCCCTACCAGCGCTTCGAGACAAACATTTGGCAAGTGCTGAGAAGAAGCGCCGCAACAAACTCAGTCACCACTGTCTGCCGGTTTAAAAGCATACTACATAGCCTCCTTTTTCCTTCAAAAAATATAATCGCACCACCCCATCTCTTCCCATGGGTGACTAATTTTTCACCATGAATCCCTAATTTATAAGTGACCCCTATGGTAACACATAACAGGACTTTTTTTTCAAACGGGTCACTTAAAAATTAGGGATTAAATCGGGCATAAGGGATCCAGACTTAGGGGGATGGGCTTGGGCAGCAGTATACACCATGCCATCACACTTCGGTTTGTCAAGCTTACGCCCACCATATTCACAAACATTACTATGGCTGGGTTGCACCATCTTACTTTAACTTTGACAAACGTCAAAAATCTGTCAAATTCCATACAAAAAGCACCGGTTATCGTCATAGTTACCGTTAAAGATAGATGGTGCAACCCACCCTATGAGTCACAGGGTAACACACGAACCAATCACAGTGATCTGTCTAACGCTGTGCGTTCATTTGCTGCTTGAATTAAGCTAGCATCGTTTGTGAACACGGGCGTTAGAGATAAGGCAAAAGGAGCCCCGTCGCAGAAAAAAATAGACACATAAATCTTTATTAATTTATAAAATAAATGTCTAGGTTCGTGAGGCCGTATTAGAACAACCATTAATTTGAATCTATGCTTATGAATAGAATTATACTACAGTAAAACTATTATTTTTATGGTAGGTGTGTAATAAGTGAAATGATATTTTAAAATCTAACCTAACCTAAATCGATCAAAGTCCAAGCGAAGACATAAACAAAAGTATCTTAAATAATAACTTATATCAAATTAAAAGATATAAATACATATCTATTCGATTGAATGATCATGTCAATGAGTGGTCTGAAAAAGTTGCTTCAACTTTTAATAAATAAAACTTAAAAATGTAATAAGTACATATTTTTTTAACAAAGGGCTCGATATTAACATTTTATTCATCACTTTAGTAATAATTTTATTGTGAACTGAAATATTTAGTCAGTATTTTTGTAAATTTTAAATTATTATTAAAACTTTTTCTTATATTTTAACGCTTTGGATCTAGGCCTAATTTTGTGAGAGATAATAATAACAAGCTTATTATTATTTATAAATGAATTTACAGAAGAATCTCTTTGATATCAATGTATGTATAAATAAAAATATATTTTATAATAAAACTATTTTCATTAGAAAATTCGTACATAAATCTGTAGCTGTAACCATTAAAGTGGTTTATGTAGAGAATCTAATATCATAATAAATAATATTTTGCCAAAAATGTTTATAGTTTTTGAAAACGACTATAATATTTAAAAATCTATAGATTTGTCTAGAATAAAAAACAGTGTTTGATATTAATATTCCAGATAAAAAGTAATATATTTATATAAGACTATTAGTCTATTCATTCATTATCTAGGATCGGCAAAATGAAACAATGTGTTGCTCTTGTAAAGTAGTGATATTTTCAACAATATTCTATCATCTACATATTCACACAGAAATTGTTTACGAATCACAACAGAGAAACGACATTTAAAGTTAATTCATCAGCTTGTCGATTCCTTTAAAATTATAATACATTTTCATCTTCTAAAATAATAAAATTTTCACTTTATTAACACCATGTCAGATGTCACATGTCACATGTCACATGTCAACATGAAAAAGAAAAGTAGCTCTGCTCTCTGCCTAATTAAAAAANGTCCCCTCAGTTGTGAATTCGGAATCGCCAGTTGTAATTTTAAAATCGCATCACAGAGTGAAGTAACTAACACCAAAAAACGGCAGAGCGAAGTGATTTCGAATGTTTCAACTGCTACGTTTTGTCACTTGTCTAGGAGGGCTAATTTTAGTCTAAGGGAGGGGAGCTTAGATTACATTACAGGAAACGCACAATATAATAAAAGAAAATAATGTAAGTAGCTGAACCTTTTTGAGTACCATGAAAATTTAACACAATTTAGCCGATTTGTTTATATTCACAATCGTTTCACAATGTCTATGATGAGGCGACCGCAGGAACGTCACTATTCGTGCAATCCTGTCAATGAAGTACGACATTTTCTGGTGCAGATTTTATCGCCATAAATTATGAAACTTGATAGTCATGGATTTGACTGACAGCTGTCCGTCAAATTCCCGCCCCGCACCCCGCATTGTACATATTTTGTTCGCGATGTCTGTTCTATACGTAGTAATATTACTTCAATGATTTTGATTAAATTATTCGTTGTTTGAATACACTTCAGTCATTTTTGTATTAATTATAACGTGATTTGTGATTGATGGATTTCTCAGTTTTTTACAAAAGTGTCAAAAAGACATTTTAAAGACAATAGATTGCAATAGATATTTAAAAATACAATAAAAAGTAAAAAAGTCTCCATCGCCATCGCTAACAAGTGATGTGCATGCGTTACGATAGTTAGTGATGTGTTTAACAGATTGTCGATAAAATAAAATATTCAAAATTAAAAATCAAAATTTTCGGGCATTATTTTTTAACGGATTTGTGTTCAGTATCAGTAATATAGTTACCTCTGTAAATATGGCAAGAATGCAAAGTAACACCCTGTATACGCGTATCTAGTAAAGTGATCTACTAACAGATGTAAGTATCTTTTCGTTGATCGAGACCCTCCAAATCCTCCTATCGTGTCTATTGACACAATTTCAAATGGTTTAGAAGCAGGACCTAAGTGCGACATTAAACCATACTTAACTTGTCCTCTTGTCTTATTTTTTATACATATTTCACACTTTTTGCATAAATCGCTAATATTCTTTGTTAAATTCCTCGCCGTATAAAACTTTCCTATCTTCTTTTGCATTTGTTTAATACCTATATGACACATATCTTCATGAATTTGTTTTATTAACTTCATACTGAATTCTTCCATATTTCCCATTCTGAGTTTATCGTAAATTTGATTAACATACTAGTATACCAATCTAAACATTGTTTTTCAAGTAGATGTTTTAAAATCTCAATTTTCTCCGCATCCTGCAGTATGTCAAAACGTGAGCACTCATTCTCAAATTCACTAATCCATTGGTCAACATTTGAGANTTATTATATTTATGACTTTTAATTGTTCATCTAAATCTTTATTTGCTTCTAAAACTGGGTTTCTGCTTAAACAATCTGCCTCTAAATTTTCTTTTCCAGGAGCATATCTTATCTTAAAATCATATTGTGACAGATAGTAAACTAAGTCCCCCAATTCTTCATCTGTTCTGGATTTAATATTCAGATTCTCTAACGGTTTGTGATCTGAATACACTATGAACGATTTACCTATTAGCCAGTACTGCCAGTATCTTATTGCTTCTTTAATGGCCAAACATTCTAAGTATACAGCCTTTTTTTTCTTTTGTGCCTCATTTAGTTTCTTTGAGAAGTATGCAACAGGCTTTTCTTTCCCGTCTGGCTGTATTTGCTTTAACACCGCTCCGATTCCTTCCAGTGATGCATCTGTATATATGTTTATCGGCAAGTCCTTATCATAGATTTCTAAGATTGGTTGTGAGCACAACAATTTTTTTATCTTCTCAAAAGCACTTTGACAGTCTGCTGTCCAGATGAACTTCTGATTTTTCCTCAGTAAATTATGAAGTGGTTCTAAAATGATCGAGCTGTTCGGTATATATTCTCGATAAAAATTTACTTTTCCTAGAAGTTGCCTGACATTTTTCTGAGTCTTCGGAGTTGGGAAATCCCTTAATGATGCTAGATTGTCTCTTACTGGTCGAACTGTGTTATTTTGTATTATATGCCCCAGATACTTTACGGAATTTGTAGCAAACTTACATTTCGTAAATTTAAGTCTGAAACCTTCTTTTTTAATCGCATCTAACAACTGTGATAAATGTTTTATATGTTCAGAATAGGATTTTGAATAAACCAAGATGTCATCTATGAAATTGACAGTAAAATCTGTCAATTTATACTTCCTTAGTATATTACTTAATACCCTTTGAAATATCGCTNTCTGTATATATATTTATCGGCAAGTCCTTATCATAGATTTCTAAGATTGGTTGTGAGCACAACAATTTTTTTATCTTCTCAAAAGCACTTTGACAGTCTGCTGTCCAGATGAACTTCTGATTTTTCCTCAGTAAATTATGAAGTGGTTCTAAAATGATCGAGCTGTTCGGTATATATTCTCGATAAAAATTTACTTTTCCTAGAAGTTGCCTGACATTTTTCTGAGTCTTCGGAGTTGGGAAAAGTTAATTCATCAGCTTGTCGATTCCTTTAAAATTATTATACATTTTCATCTTCTAAAATAATAAAATTTTCACTTTAATAACACCATGTCAGATGTCACATGTCACATGTCAACATGAAAAAGAAAAGTAGCTCTGCTCTCTGCCTAATTAAAAAAACAACTAAAGAGGATTTATTCTCTTATAAATATTAAAAGGCAAACTTGATATAAATATCATCAAATTAACAAAATTAAAGATCAATAACTAAAAAAGAGGATCAAATATTATTTTTGTTTACCAAATATTAAAAGAGTATGTTAAACATAAATATTATGTTTCCTTAAATGAAGATCATTAATAATTTATCCGTAGATCAACTAATATAGACCCAATAATTAATATAAAGATAAAATATAATAAAATACATCATTTATTTTTAAAAGTGCACATACAAAAAAGATCAATTAGTTTTTAGAGGATCAAATAATATTGTCCCATATTAAAACCGTCGTTCGTTCGTTCGTTTCAGCCGAAAGACGTCCACTGCTGGACAAAGGCCTCCCCCAAGGTTTTCCACAAAGACCTTTAACCATCATTTTGTTAGTATCTAATCTCAAACGTAACTCATATCCTTTGTAAAACTAGTGAT